TATTTCCAACAATGCTCGGTGTCCAGGAGCAAGTCGTTAATCATGGGGGAAGCACAAATATCCCATTCTAGTCCCCTGGGGTACTCCACATGTGAGTGGCAGGAGGCTGAAAACTTGACCCTGCACGTGTATGGCCTGTTGGAAAGAAAGTCTACCAGTCAGGGGATGAAGCACTCCCTGCTGCCCGTGGAAGCTGCTGCTTTGGAGAGGACCATGGTGTGGTCCACCAGGTCGAAGGCTTTCTTGAAATCTATGAAAATGCTGGTGACAGAGTATTTATGCTTGTTGAGGTGGGCAAAGACAAAGTTGAGGAAGCTAATGAGGCAGTGTGTGATAGAGAAGGAGTGTATACTGCCGAGCTGCTGAGTGTCAATGCTGGGCGCAAGGTCCTGGTAAGCCCACTCGGCTACAAAGCTGTTACACAGCAGGCTGGGCAATGGAGTAATAGCGATGAGTCGCAGTTTGTCGAATAAGGCAGAGGTTGAGGTTTCCCAATGGCGGTAACAAATTTGGTCTTCTATTGTCATGGGCATTTAGACTGTTGCAGTGAGGCATTAATTAAGGAGGTAAGAGGACTGGCATGTTCCTTTGCGAACTCCTTGATGAGGTGCACAAGCAGATCTAGGGGGTGGTGGCTCTCTTGAAACTGGTTGACAGTTGGAGCAATTAAGTGGGCTGGCAGCTAGATGGGGAGGCTGACAAATCAGGGCAAAGTGGTCGTTGAGTTCATCTGCTGTTTCACTGGGGCTGAGGGTGCTGGTGTATGGAAACGTCCACAGCCAATTTGCAAGGCTGCACAGCTCCCATACTTTCCCATACCACTGGCTGGGCTGCAGGTGTTGCAGTTTGTTATGATAGTAGGTTTTCTTTCATCATCATCATTGGGGAGCTAAAGCCGGCGGGGGCGCATAGCCGCATCCACCTTTAGTTTCTACCTATGAGAGTCCTTCATGCTGAGCCGCCAGGCAGGGGCCCAGCCCATCTCTAACTCTTCATGACAAGTTTGATCGATCTGCCCAAGTCATGATTTCCTAGGTTGTCCCACAGGCCTCTTCCACCCAGGGTTTGCTGGAACAGAGACAACCTGGTGAACAGGATCATCCTGTGGGAAAAGAGCCAGGTGGCCACATAGCCTGACTTGGTGCTCATGGATTGTGCAAATAACACACGCTGTACCAGTCTCATGGTGCAACTGTTGGTTGGACACATGGTCCTGCCAACTGTATCCCATGATCTGGCACAAGGACCTATTACAAAAGGCATCAAAATGTGATTCTAAAGCTCAAGATAGCATCCAGGTTTCACTACTGCATAGTAAAACTGGCAGAATCAGGGCCCTGAAGAGATGTATCTTGGTCCTTCTGCACAGGTACTGGTATC